CTTCATTTCAGGGTTGTGGGTTTGAGTCCCTCATTGGGCAAAAGATTCCTGGTTGGACTAGATGACCCTTCCAACTCTACAATTCTGTGATTCGATAATTTTATGGGCAGCCTTTCAAACAGAGGACCACCTTCAAACAGAGGACCATCCTTCATCAAGGAGGGCCCAGGGTCGCCTGCTTTCCCCCCTCTGCAATCCTGGTCAAAATGACCAACCCCTGCAAATTAAGGGTGCTCCTTCCATGCTCGTTCCCAAAGAATCTGGGTAAAAGCTGGATCGCCAGAAGAATTAATCTGAGCTTTCAAAGGGACATAGAGCTGAAAGAGGAAGTGGGAAAGAGTGCCTCTCTTCCCACTTCCTCTTTCAGCTCTATGTCTTTTTCAAGGGAGAAAACCACCCTCTCCACCTCATGACCGAGGAGACAGGTGCCATGTTGGAGATGCATGTGCCTTTTGTGGGAATCTGTGTGCCTCCCCCCTTGTCACGTGCAGGAATTTAAATGCTAACGGCAGCACCTAGGTGGCAACTGGCTGGAGGCTACATTAGAACCCTGGCAGCAAACTGCAAGGTTCAAGGTACCACAGCAGTAAAATACAAAATCACATTGGCATAAAATCAAGTATTTGCGCTGGTGAGCAAGATCTCTGCAAACCTCTTGGGTATTGCAGGATGCTGCCAGATTTATGCATTGCTCAAGGTTCTCTGACTCATTTTGGTGAGGGCAGTGTTGGGTCTCATCAGCATCCCCATGGAAGGGAAATATTGAGAAGGTACAGGAAGTAAGAGGAACTTGACAGAGGGATGTTCCTTGTTCATATATGGAACAAGCTAGCATTGCCTGAAGCTCTTGCCAGCACCGATTTTTGTCAAAGAAGCAGAGAGGTTACTGTGCTGATGGCTGTACCTGAACCATGATTAAAGAATTCCCTGCTGCACTCGTTCCTAGGCTGAATGGGAAATGCCTCTCAAAATTCTCCGCTTAATTGGTAGGTAGCATTAACAGGTAGAAGCAGAATTCTCTAACAGTCTGCTCTTTGTTAAATGGAGATTCTGAGAGAATACAAATGGGGTGAGCAATCTCTGAACAAAACATAAAATAAATTATTTCTTCTTTTTTTTAGTATAGCAAATTCTGCTCAGATAACTGTAGGTTGCATCTATGTCCATTTTTTTTATTGCCTCCAAACAGAAAGTCTTTGTCCAGTTACCTGAAATTTTACAAGGCTGAGCCATTGAAGGGGTAGCAGAATGCCTAAAAATACTATATTATAGACCCAGAAATGGAGGGAGGGAACAGTATCAATGACAGAGGAATGGCAGAGGAAATTGATGGAAAATGCAGAAATGGCAAGTTTAACCAGCAGAATAAGAGATCAGGAAGAAAGAGTGTTTAAAGAAGAGTGGGAAATATTTGCAGAGTATCTGAAGAATCATCGTGAGCAAATTAAAACGCTAGCAGGATTAGAGTAAATTAATTAAGTTGGGATAAAGTGAGAAAAAAACTAATATGGAGTAATTAGAATATGTAGCAACAGAGGATAATTAGAATGAACAGTGGACGGTGGGGAGGGAAGTTAATGAATAAATGATATATATTTCTTTTGATGAATATAAATGTGAAATTTGTAAAAGTGAAAATTATAAATAATTTTTCTTTAAAAAGAGAAAAGTCCCCCACTGAAATAAATGGGGGGGGGATGAATGAACTAGTTACAATTTTAAAGGGGAATGAAAGAAACATGAAATAAAGTTTAAGAATGAAAAAGAATAGAGAAATGAAAAAAAGGTCCTTACACATCCTTAAAGTGTGAAATGGACCTTAAATGGATCTCAGTCCCGAAGGGCAAACTGTGCCCAAATTAGCCACATCAGGGCAACCGTTCCGTTTGCTAAGTAATATCGACCAGTGGTGTAGTGGGGGGAGGGCTGGGGGAGGTTGCCCAGGGGCACAAAAATTGTTGGGGTGCAAAATTTCAACTCCCGGTGCTGCCTCAATACAGCTACATGCTTCCATCGCTGGGCTCCATTGAAAACAGCTTCTCGGTGTGAATCAGGAAGTGATCTCTCCAGACAATGGAGTGAGTCTTCTTTTCTTATTTTTGCAGCTGCTATCTCCTGGGTGATGCGGACACCTTAGGCAGTTGAATGTGCACACTTACTCTGTCCATTTCCCTCCCACCCACCCACCTGCTCCGCTCTGCGCCGCAGTGGGAGCTGGCAACCCACGCTATGCCACTGATAGCGACGGAGTTTTTGAAATCCATCTCTTCTTCCCATTACCTTTCCAGGGATTGGTGTGTGTGCAATAGGCATAATTCAGCTGGCAAGGACCCAGACAGCAAATTTCTGTGTAATTTTATTTTCTATATTCGGAAGGTAGTGGAGGTACACATAATTTGATTCCCTTACGTTGCATGTTCCCAAGACTGCACATCAAACAGCTTTATGTCTGGCACGGGGGCACATTATTTATGAGAGAAAGACTACTTGATTTCTGTCTAGAGTGTGCATCGTAGTAAATCTGTACCTTTCTAGCCAACAATATATTTAATTCAGTTCGCAGACATTTTTGATGAATTGTGAGGCTTTTATGTATTTACTTCTTATCTTAACGCATCATGGCTATCAGGTTTTCATCATCAGTAAGTTTATTGTGCTAGCCAAAGGCCATGGCAAAAACATAAAAACACAATTTAAAATATAAAATATAGATACATTTTAAACTCACCCTTCCTCTAAAAAGTTCAGAATAAAGTGGTACCTCGGGTTACAGGCGCTTCAGGTTACAGATGCTTCAGTTTACAGTAAGCAGTGAAAGCAAATGCGTGTCTACACACAAGCAAGCCCTACTTAATTCAATGGGGCTTACTCCCAGGAAAGTAGAAGTATGTTTAGTTTAACTCAGTGGGGCTTATGCATGCACAGATTCAACATAGACCTCTGAGTGGGGAAGCAGATGCAACTTGACTAGTAAATCACTTAAACTACTCACAAATTAGTTGAAAATATATTAAATATAATATATGGAAGTTTATTTAGTATTTTTATTAAATCTACTGCTTCCTTACACTTTAAGGCCCTCCACCGCCCCAGGGAGCCTCATCAAGGCCCTCAGCTGCTGCGGGGAAGTGCAGTACACCCTCCGCCACTCTGGGGAGGTACGGCGGGACCCTCTGCCACCACAGGGAGGTGTGGTAAGGGAGGATTACCATACGTCTCCAGTTCCCGGGGACAGTCCCCGGATTTGCAAATCTGTCCCCAGGAAATGTGGCAGCGGCAGCCTCAGCCGCCCAGAGCACAACAAATCATATGGGGACTTCTGGCGAGGAAAAATGGTGGGCACCATGGCAGCGAGGAGCTCCTGAAGCCAGCCAGAGCCAACTGCGCTATCAGGCTGGCTCTGGGCTGCTGATTGCCGCTGCCGCCGCCACTGCCAAAGGGGAACCGGGGACGTCCGGCGGTACAGATCTCCTGCCCCCTTCCCCCTTTGTTTTGACTGATCAGGGGAGGCTCGGGAGTTGCAGGCGGGCAGCCGTTGCCCAGTTTTTTAAAAACTGAGCATTCATGTTTCACAGGGTGCGAAAGAAGGGCTTTGCACCTTTATACAATATACATGTGTGCTTGGGCCCAGGATCTTTTGCCTCACCATCCCCACTACTGATTCCCTGGTGCTACTCAGCTTCAACAAAAAAAAGTGTCCCCGGATTCATTGAAAAAAATCTGGTAACCATATGGTAAGGCCCTCTGCCACTGCAGATATATATCGTGATATATCGTGATATGTCTGTTGTCTTTGTCCGCGGAGTTTTCTTGGCAGGATACTGGAGTGGCTTGCCGGTTCCTGTTCCAGGTGGATCACGGCGTGCTCTGGTCCATGGGGTCACAAAGAGTCAGACATGGCTAAACAACAACAAATATCGTGATATATCGTGATTTACCATTTAGCTGGTGATATATCATGATGTTGAGAATCAGATATCAGCCAGCCCTACATTGGAGCCCTGTTAGCTTCTTGAAGGTGCTGTGTGCTGGTGCTGAGAGGACTGGAAGAAAGGAAACAGCCCTGACTCCACGAAGCAAAGCATGAAAGCCAAGAAACTGTTCTTAAGAGAAAGTGAGGAACAGTACCTCCCCCGTCTCCTAGCAACCAGCATTCCTCTGCCTTTTGGAGAGAAGCCTTCCTTCCCTCCCATAGATATCCTGATCTGAAGGCTGACCACAAGGATGACCTGTATCAAGACTCCGCACGGAAATTGGTTTCAGAGCCCAGTAAAAAATTGCTAAGTGTCAGGCAGCATCTGCTGAGGGCTTAATGGGATTTTTATTTGTACTTAGCCACAGTGATTTGGTTAACTCTTTGCAGTTCTCTAGGGTTCCCTTTATTTCATTTTATTTTAATCAAACTTTAAGAGATGAAAAAAGAGAGTGAACGAGGGAAGTAATTCACCCTCTCATTCTTTCTCTGGAAGCGCAAAACGCATCTGCTGAAATAGGTAACAAGTCACATATAAGCAGTGCCATTTTTCTAGAAAAAGAGGTGCTGGAACTCTCAATGAATGCCTCTTATAATGGCAATGGCGCCCACCTGTAAGGTGCCAGAACTGAGTTCTGGAGAGTTCTGGCTGAAAAAAATGCCCTGCATATTATAGACCATGGGTGAGGAAAGTTTTCCAGACTGAGGCCCGCATTCCCTTCTCAGCAACCTTCCCAGGGCCACATGCCAGTGGCTGGCAGGGCCAGAAGCAAAGATGGGTGGAACAACTGGTCTACATTTGACCTTTGAAGAGGAGGAAGGTTTCTGCACACTGTTGTCCAGTGGTTAGAGCAGGGGTCAGTGTTAAGTTGTGGGTGAACATATCAGACGACACAGCGATTCTTCAAACAGCTCTTGTTTATTCAGAACAGAACTGAACTGAAGGGTTCAGCCAGCCTGCTTATATAGAGTTCCACTACATCGCAACTGTAACAACTTTTTGTAACTATCTTTTTTTTTTTTTTTTAAGAATATTTATTCAAGTTTTAAGATTACAAAAAAAAAAGAAAAAACAAAACAAGAAAACCAGTCACATACATCTTACAAAAGATACACACCATACAAGGAAAAAAAGAAAAAAGAAAAAATACACAAGACCAAAAATCACAATAAAAAATAACAAAAGAAGAATTCAAATTTAACAAACCGTATTCCCATTTACTTATTTCCGTGACTTCCTCACACTTCTCTGCTTTGTATTCTAATTCAAATTGTATCTCCAGCAAATCCTTCTAACCTTCTTTTCATTCACTTATTTTAACATTTTAACATTCAAAAATATTTAATTCTCCTCTATCCTTTAATTTACACTTCATATTTACTTAATTCCATTATACTCTGTCTGCCAATACGGTCTAATATTTCTTCTCCAACCTTTCCTAACATTCTTTTATGTTACAGTGATTCTGTAAATATATTTTAAACTTTTTCCAATCTTCTTCCATCAACCCTTCTTCTTGATCTCGAATTCTTCCAGTCATCTCAGCTAGTTCCATATAGTCTATCACTTTTCTCTGCCATTCTTCTCGGGTAGGCAATTCTTGTGTCTTCCAATATTTCCCAATGAGTATTCTTGCTGCTGCTGTCGCATACATAAAAAAAGTTCTATCTTCCCTTCGCACCAATTGGCCGACCATGCCCAAGAGGAAGGCCTCTGGTTTCTTTAAGAAAGTATATTTCAATACCTTTTTTAATTCATTGTATATCATTTCCCAGAATGCCTTGATCTTTGGGCACGTCCACCAAAGGTGAAAGAAAGTACCTTCGTTTTCTTTGCATTTCCAACATTTATTATCAGGCAAGTGATAAATTTTTGCTAGCTTGACTGGGGTTAAGTACCACCTGTAAATCATTTTCATTATGTTTTCTCTTAGAGCATTACAAGCCGTAAATTTCATACCTGTGGTCCATAACCGTTCCCAGTCAGCAAACATAATGTTATGCCCAACATCCTGCGCCCATTTAATCATAACAGATTTAACCATTTCATCCTGTGTATTCCATTTCAGCAGCAAATTATACATTCTTGACAAATTTTTAGTTTTAGGTTCTAACAATTCCGTTTCCAGTTTAGATTTTTCCTCCTGGAAACCAATCTTTTTATCTAAGTTAAAAACCTCCCTTATTTGATAATAATGCAACCAGTCTCTGACTTTGGTTTTTAATTTGTCGAAACTCTGCAGTTTTAATTTATCTCCAACTTGTTCTAAAATTTCACAATATTTTGGCCAGTTTGTCTCCATATTGGTTTTTTTCAATGCCTTTGCCTCCATTGGTGATAGCCACCTTGGTGTTTTACTTTCCAACAAATCCTTATATCTCACCCAAACATTAAATAATGCTTTCCTGACAACTTTTTGTAACTATCCAATCACTGAACGTCACTTTCAATCCCTTATTTGTATACGTGGACCTGAGTGGAAACTATCTACAGTATCCCCCTGCTGGCCCAGGGTGAGAACTTCAGTACATAACAGTCAGCAAACTTTTTCAGCCGTGGCCCGGTCCACCGTCCCTCAAACCATGTGGTGGGCTGGACTATATTTTGAAAAAATAATAATGAATGAATTCCTATGCCCCACAAATAACCCAGAGATGCATTTTAAATAAAAGCACACATTCTACTCATGTAAAAACACCAGGCAGGCCCCACAAATAACCCAAAGATGCATTTTAAATAAAAGGAAACATTCTACTCATGTAAAAACACGCTGATTCCCGGACCGTTCACGGGCCGGATTTAGAAGGCAGTTGGGCCAGATCCGGGCCCCGGGCCTTAGTTTGCCTACCCATGGGTTAGAGTGTTGGACTCCAACCTGGGAGACCAGGGTTATAATCCGCACTCGAGCAGGAAACTCACTGGGTGACCTTAGACCAGTCACTGCCTCTCAGCCTAAGCTACCTCTGACTTTTACATTGCTTACATGTATATCTGGCCCTGCTTAGAGGTTGCTTAATGTTTGGAGCATTCATGACTGTGAGGACTGGGAAGTATATTTGTCAGAATGTCAAATCTAAGCACTAAAACACAATATATAAATATTAGGTAAAGTTAAAGGACCCCTAGATGGTTAATTCCTGTCAAATTTGACTATAGGGTGAATTTGCTCATCCCCGTTTTCAAGCTGATTCCCCCTTTTCCACCCTGCTTAACAAAAAATCAGACAACAGGCTGAGAAGTAAGTTTAAAAATTGGTTTACTTACTCATAGTCTTGTGTTAGTTTTCAGCAACAGTAGCAGTAAAAACTATGCAGGTAAAGTACATATATTTACAATATAAAGCAAAGGTAAAAGATAAATAACCTCTGGACAGTTAAGTCTGGTCAAAGGCAACTATGGGGTATGGTGTTCATCTTGCTTCAGACAGAGGGAGCTGGCATTTGTCCACAGACAGCTTTCCGGGTCATGTGGCCAGCATGACTAAACAGCTTCTGGTGCAATAGGACACCATGAATGAAACCAGAGTGCATGGAAACACCATTTACCTTCCCGCCGCAGTGGTACCTATTTATCTACTTGCACTGGCATGCTTTCAAACTGCTAGGTTGGCAGGAGCTGGGACTGAGCAATGGGAACTCACTCCGTCGCGGGGATTCGAACCACCAACCTTCTGATCGGCAAGCCCACGAGGCTCAGTGGTTTAGACCACAGTGCCACCCGTGTCCCTATATAAATATTATAAACACTGAAACCAATTACAAGTAACGCAACCAATAAAAACTTTGAAGTGCATCCATACAAATATAAGACAGTCTTGCGGTTCCTGCCCAACTAAAAGAGGCCACGAGCACTTAAAACCCCCTCAAATCAACCTGCTCCAACCATAATGCTGTTAAGATGGAAATGAAACTAACACCAACTGGCTCCTTTAGATGGAGGATGAATGACACCTTATTTAGAGATGAAGAAGTGCTTAAGAAGGCCCAAAAAACCTTGAGAGACTATTTTGAGATAAATTTGAGCACCAATGTGGAAAAAAGAGTAATCTGCGACGCAAGTAAAGCGGTTATGAGAGGGTTCCTGATACAACAGAATGCATTAAAGAAGAGAATCCAAAATGAGAAGAAGGATAAAATTTTGGAGAAAATAAAGGAAAGTGAAAAAAGATTGAGAGCAAAACCAAAGTCTCAAGAGATTTTGAGAGAAATAAAGTTATATCAAGTGCAATATATGAAAATGATGAATCAGGAGATAGAATGGAAAATTAAACAAATGAGACAAAAGACATTCAAGTCGGCTAATAAATGTGGGAAATTGTTGGCTTGGCAAATGAAAAAAAGACAAAAATTAAATACAGTTACAAATTTAGAAGTGGAAGGAAGGAATATACAGAACCCAGCTGAGATTAGAAATTGTTTCCAGAGGTACTTTAAACAACTATATACACAAGGGCCACAGAAAGAAACTGACGTAGATCGATTTTTGAAAACAAATGGATTACAAAAAATCTCTCAAGAAAATAAATTAATGCTGAATTACAAAATAACTGAACAGGAGATAGAAGGTGCCATTCAGAATATGCAATTGGGTAAATCTCCAGGACCGGATGGACTGACTTCTAGATACTACAGATCCTTAAAAGAATGGCTAGTACAACCTTTGAAAGAGGTCTGTAATGAAATAATGGAGGAAAAGGGCACCAGAGTCGTGGAAAGAAGCATATATCACACTTGTACCGAAAATAGAGACTGAAAAGACGCAGCTTAAGAACTATCGCCCCATATCATTGCTTAATGTGGATTACAAAATTTTTGCAGATATTTTGGCTAAAAGATTAAAAAGAGTGTTAGTGGAAGAGATACATAAGGACCAAGCAGGCTTTCTCCCAGGAAGACATCTATCTGATAATATGAGAAACATAATTAATATTTTAGAAAAACTACAAGTGAATATAAATACTAAGGCAGTTTTAATATTTGTGGACGTGGAGAAAGCTTTTGGCAATATTTCTTGGACTTTTATGAAAAAAAACCTACAGGGTATGGGGGTAGGCCAAGGTTTTGAAAGTGGTATAAGTGCACTATATTCTGAACAAAAGGCCAAATTAATTGTAAATAATGTGGTGACGGAAGAATTTAAAATAGAAAAAGGGACACGACAAGGTTGCCCAATCTCCCCATTGCTTTTTATATCGGTCCTGGAGGTTCTGCTGAATATGATAAGAAGGGACCAGTTGGTTAAAGGTATACAGGTTGGAGCCAAACAGTACAAATTGAGAGCATTTGCAGATGACTTAGTATTGATGTTACAGGAGCCAGAATCTAGTACAAAAAGGGTTTTAGAACTGATTCAAGAATTTGGTCAAGTTGCAGGATTTAAATTGAATAAGTTAAAAACCAAGGTTTTAGAGAAAAATTAACACCAATGGAGAGAGAGAGGTTTCAGAATGAGACAGGTTTAACAGTGGTTAAGAAAGTTAAATACCTGGGGATTATCATGAGAGCAAAAATGGGAATTTATTTAAAGATAACTATGAAAAATGTTGGGCTGAAGTGAAAAAAGATTTAGAAATTTGGTCGAATTTGAAGCTTTCACTGCTGGGTCGTATTGCTGTGGTAAAAATGAATGTATTGCCTAGAATGTTCTTTTTGTTTCAAACATTGCAAATTGTGGACAAAATGGACTGTTTCAAGAGGTGGCAGAGAGATATTTCTAGATTTGTCTGGCAGGGCAAGAAGCCTAGAATAAAATTTAAAATACTAACAGATGCAAAGGAAGGAGGTGGATTTGCCCTGCCAGACTTTAAACTTTATTATGAATCAGCAGCTTTTTGCTGGTTGAAAGAATGGCTGCTTCTTGAAAACACTGACATTTTGGATTTAGAAGGTTTTAACAATGTATTTGGATGGCATGCATATCTGTGGTATGATAAGGTCAAAGCACATAAAGCATTTAAAAACCATATTGTCAGGAAAGCATTGTTTAATGTTTGGATAAGATATAAGGACTTATTGGGGGGGAAAACCCCAAGGTGGCTGTCACCGATGGAAGCGAAAGCTCTGAAAAAGCTCAATATGGAGGTCAAATGGCCGAAATATTGGGAAATTTTGGAACAAGATGGAGATAGATTGAAACTGCAGAGTTTTGAAAAACTAAAAAACAAAGTGCGAGACTGGCTTCATTATTATCAGATAATGGAGGCATACAATTTGGACAAGAAAATCGGCTTCCAGGTGGAAAAATCAAAATTAGAAACAGAATTGTTAGAACCCAAAACTAAGATTTTGTCAAAGATGTATAACTTGCTGTTGAAATGGAATACTCAGGATGAAACGGTGAAATCTGCTATGATTAAATGGGCACAAGATGTTGGACATAACATAATGATGGCTGACTGGGAACAGTTGTGGACCACAGGTATGAAGTTTACAGCATGCAATGCCTTAAGAGAGAATATTATGAAAATGATATACAGGTGGTACATAACCCCAGTCAAGCTTGCAAAAATCTACCATTTGCCCGATAACAAATGTTGGAAATGTAAAGAAACTGAAGGTACATTCTTTCACCTTTGGTGGACGTGCCCAAGGATTAAGGTTTTCTGGGAGATGATTTATAATGAATTAAAAAAGGTATTTAAATATACCTTCTTGAAGAAACCAGAGGCCTTCCTCCTGGGCATAGTTGGCCAATCGGTGTTAAAGAAGGACAGAACTTTCTTTATGTATGCTACAACAGCAGCAAGAATACTTATTGCAAAGCATTGGAAGACACAAGACCTACCCACACTGGAAGAATGGCAGGTGAAAATGATGGACTACATGGAATTGGCGGAAATGACTGGCAGAATCCGAGACCAGGGAAAAGAGTCGGTGGAAGAAGATTGGAAGAAATTTAAAGACTATTTACAGAAATATTGTAAAATTAATGAATGTTAGAATGATGTTGGATTGAAGTTAAGTGGTTTCTAGCTGTAATGGTATAAAAGAATATGGAAAAATTGGATTTTCAATACGTAAAAACTTAATGCTATAATATATTAAGATTAAAGATTAGGATAAAATAAGGAGGGAAAGGAATTGCTGAACTAATAAATTGAACTGGAATACAAAAAAGGGAGGCATGAGGAGGTCCGGGAAACAAGTAAATGAAAGATAAGTGATGAAAAGACGGAATTGTTTTTAATTGTT